GCAATCATGTAGTTGTTGAAATAACGAACACATTCGTCAAAGTACATGCTTTGGATGCCATCTTGCAGGAACGGGATGAGTTTACCGGCAGCCATCTTGAATTATTTGTTTACGTAAAAAAAATCAATAAAAAAAAAAATTGATCACTTTACCTTGAATCCTCGTCGCCGCTTTGTTATGTTTGTTGAATTAATGACAAAGGCCAGTTTAAAGGTTATACGGTGAAGAAGGAAACATAGTTTATTTACTTTTAAAAATATACGCGTGGTCTCATGCCACCGCTCGAGATAGGCTTACTTCTATTACTTACTATGGAAATTTAATTTTTAGTATCTAATTTATATTTTATTGTATTATATTATATATTATATTTTAGATTATTATTTATATTATTATATATAATATAATATATAATAATATAAATAATAATATAAAATATAATATATAATATAATACCATAAAATATAAATTAGATACTAAAATTTAAATTTCCATTTAATGAATTACATATTTTATTCTTATGAAGATTATCGATTAAAGGTACTTATATATATTTAAAGGTTCTCATAAAGGTTACCGATTTAAAAGTTTATTTTATTTTATTTAAAGAAGCATATTTTCATTTAAGTATTGTTATTTATTTTAAAAGATTAAGTAATTGTGCAAAACGATAATTGCCTTAAAAAGAAATTGCCTTAAAAAAAAAAGAAATATTCGCGGTGATTTTGTCTTGCATTCTTTTATACAATTATTATATATATTGGCATCATATATTAACTTTATGAACGGAAAAATATGTCCAGGGTAGCCTAGTGGTCATGGCATCTGCCCGGTAAGCGGAAGGTCGTGGGTTCGATTCCCATCCCTTGACACTTTTTTTATTTTATCCATTCTGACCAAAATCTATCCGTGAACTTCACACAGTGAACTTCACACAGACAGAATAAGGCAATTATATAAGTAGATATTTCAAACTGTATATGTACCGTTCCAATTAAAAGAACGAGTAAGAATAAATAATGAGGAGATCTATTACATTAGAAAACCGACTTTATTACTCTCTTGACCTATATATACACATCGCGCCACTCGCGGACATGCAAATATATTCACCTATCAAAAGAAACAACATGTAAACTATATAAAACAAAACAATACTATGCAAATGTCGCGAGGTATGCGACATTAAGAATAAAATTTGCATATGGAATCATTACAGTATAATAATTACACTTTTAGTAAATGTCATATTTCTTCCAATTAGTTTGAGCCGATACCTTATAAGATCCTACCCTTCTATTAAAATGTACACTGTTTCTATTTACGACCACCCCATATTTTGTATACAAACTATTTGTATTTAAACCCCCTATTTGTATTCAAACTAAGAGTGGTCGGTCAGCTGTAACAGCTGGGGACAAAGGAGGAGAAAGCAACGCCTAGCCCATCTGGGGCCCATGGGAACATTTTATAGACGACCCCTGTAAACAGTACAAGTTTTGGCAGAGGGTCAGCAGCAGTATGTTCTAGGGTGTGGCCATCGGCAGACCGCTTCTGTCTCTCTCGGTCTCTCTCGCCATGTCTTGGTTATAGACATCCAATAATACTCTCTACCTCACATAAAGCAGTCTCAAGTTGTACATAATTCAATTTACTAAATCCGAGCATACGAACCAATAAACTCTTAACAACCCTTACCAATCTCTCCCAAAACCCTCCCCACCAAGGCGCTGAGGGAGAGATAAAAATCCATTGGATTATTTTTACACTCGATTCCCTTTCAATCTCCCCCCAATCCAAGCGTTCAAGTAATTCGTTTGTTTTTGAGAAATTTGTCCCGTTGTCACTATATATTTTTCCGGGACGTCCACGCCGACGAATTAATTGCAATTTTCGTTTTATAATCATCAGCCGCGTTATATTGTATTTTAAATGTATTATAAGTTACTTTAAATATTATTTACGAACGGAAAAATACGTCCAGGGTAGCCTAGTGGACATGGCACCTGCCCGGTAAGCAGAAGGGTGTGGGTTCGATTCCCGCCCCTGGACACTTTTTATTTTTCCGTTCTCCATTACTCTTCATGTTTCACCTTTCCATACCTCATCTTCAAAGTTAGAAATGTCGTTATTTCTCTTTAAAATAAATTTCGATTTTTGTTTAGAAGAAACATTCGCGGTATAATTGCAATTTTCGTTTTACAATCATCAGCCGCGTTATATTGTATTTTAAATCTTTTTAGAGCTAATAAAAAGTGTTTGCCTCTAATGTTCTCACAATCTCTAAGTTGACAGCTCTGTAAACAGCGCAAGTACACAAGGCCACCCAAACCTTGCTGCCACCTTTAAGATGTAGCGGTCCCAACAGATCCACACCTGTCACCTCGAAGGGTTTGCCTAACCCTATTCTATTAGTCGGCAAAGCCGCGCCAAGAGTCTGAATAGGTTTCTGATTATGCCACCTACATATCACACATTTTCCAATTATTTGTTTAATAAATCTGCGACCACCAATGATCCAGAATTTCTCTCTCAATTGTGAAAGAATGAATTGGGCTCCTCCATGCCCATTTTGTTGGTTTATTTCACGAACCATCTGTTCCACCAGAGGATGATTACGAGGTAGTAAAATATGTCGTTTAAACACTTCTGAATCTTGTCCACGTAGCAGTTTCGTCTCAACGCACCACAAACCTTCGACGGATTTAATAGCCTTTAATCCATTTTTCGGAGCCTGTTTTCCTGGGAAAGTCTCTTGTTGAACCAATTTCACCAGCTTCCTTTCGGCCCTTTATAACTCTATTACTTTCAAATTTCCCCTTTCAGTGGGTATTCTTCTCGCATTGTCCAAGAATCTTAAAACCCAAGCCATAATCCTAATGTTTAGGCTATACTTGGATCTTCTATCTAGGAACCATCGATTTGCCTCGACAATGAGATTGGTGTGGGCCTGTAAGGTTTTTCTTTTTTCTTTGATGATCTCTTCCTCATCAATAGTCGGTTCAAAACTAGGCCAACTCTCCTTTTCTCCTTTTAGCCATTCAGGACCCTCCCACCAGTTGGTCGAGACAAATTGTACGATAGAGCAACCTCGAGAAGGCAAATCCGCTGGATTTAATTATCCGTAAACAAACTTCCAGTTCTCATTATTGACAGTGTCTTGTATTTCCTGTACTCGGTTTCTTACAAAACATTCCACTCATTTTTCTCTTTAGCCAAGCCATAACGGTTAGGAATCGGTCCATAAAGTAACAGGGCAACTATTTGTTAAGGCAGTCGAAATAGATTTAACAAGTCTAGCTCCTAAAACGCAGGACAAAGGTTCTAACCGAGGAATAGTTACCCTCTTGGTTGGCGCAAGCCTAGACTTGCTCCAAAGCAGAGACAAATGTACTCCTGTCTGCACTTCACTTCTCATATATGCCACTTCTGCATAAGCGGATTTACTGGCATCGCAGAAGACGTGTATTTCATTCTTATTAGTTTGATCAAACCAAATATTCCTGGGAATTTTGATTTCACTTAATAGCCCAATTTGGGTATATATTCGGGTAATTGAGAATCCCATCCAATTTTCAACTCCCAGGACCTCTGTAATAATAGTTTAGGAGGCAATAATATAGGACTATAAACTCCCAAGGGATCAAAAACTTGCTGAACTTTAGAAAAAAAGGACAATCCTCTTGGTTTGTCTTCGGGGGAGGTCCTTTTCAATTGAAACATCACAATTAAGTACATCTTCTACTTTGTCCCACACCAGTCCCAACACCTTGGTAGTAGTTCCTTTTTCCTCCTTTGAATTACTCACTGGTAAATTGAATTCCCACTCACGCAAGTCCATTTTTGCCATTTCCATGATATTGACAGCTGTATTCTGGAATTGTTGAATCTCCTCCTGAGAGGAGAGGGATGTTACCAAATTATCCATATAAAAGGATCTCGCCATAGTATTTGCGATTTCAGCTGCCGGACCTTGTACAGAATTCAGATGATGATCAATAACTGCACCCAAGATGTATGGACTACAGTTAAGCCCAAATACCACACGTTTATGTCTAAAAACGGTTACCTTCATAGGGTCAGTTTGATCCCACCAAAGGAAGCGAAGAAAGTCCTGGTCTTTATGCTGCAATGTAATTATCTGAAATACCTTTCGAACATCGGCTAAAACACCAATACCTTTTTCTCCAAACCTAATTAATATTTCAGGTATTTTTTCCAAAAGGTTAGGTCCCTTTTCTAGATAGTCATTCAGAGAAAGATCATTATACGACCTGCAGGAGGCATCGAAAACAGGACGAAGAGGCGTCATCCTACTTTCAGCCTTGAACACCGGCCTATGCGGTAAAAAAATGCCCTTCTTTTGAGGCCTATTCTCCTCTATCCTCTCAATTAGGCCCTTTCTCTCCCATTCTTGAAGAATAGTAGAATAATCCTTATAACCATCTTCTCCTTCCTTAATTTACTAGTGCATGCTTCCAATCTCCTCTGCGCTATTTCTAAATTCGAGGGAATATTATATTTTTTGCATTTCCATGGTAGCGCGACTGAATATCGTTTATCTTCATCCCTCTTTATATTTTTTTATGAAATGCTCCTTTAGTTCAGTTTCCCTTTTCTTTTTTGAGACAACTTCGATGAAATTTTGGATTCCCAAGACATCCAGCTCCCAAAGATCCTTCAAGTTGTTTCTTGCAACCAACATATTCAATGCAATTTGGACCTTATCCTCCTTACACACCACCGGAGATTGCCCCATAAGCGTCCATCTTAATTTTGTCTCTACGGCAGTTAGGTCCTCTCCTAGATGGACGACCTTCCCGGTCAGTAATTGTCCAAAGTAGTCACTACCTATTAAAATATATATTTCCTCATTTCTAAAATTTGACGGGTAAATATAGATCTTTTTCCGTTTTAATCGGCGGTATCCTTGCACAAATTTCTGGTTGATCGAAGGCGACTATGTCTACATCAATTTTATTGGTTAGACTTCCCAGTTTAAAAACATATTTTCCGTGCAACGCCTCCTTCATATTTCCTCCCCCGAAAATATATTTTTCCAAACATATCTCTCCTATTTTGTTGAAAACCCAGTTTTTCGACAATAGATCTCTTTATATAGGAGTAGTGACTTCCGGTGTCAAATAACACCTTGACTTCTTTAGTCTCTTTAGCCCCTTTCAATTTCGCCACGGAAGTCAGATGTCATTGGCGCATGTTCGCGCAGACATATTAACACCCGTGCATGTTGCATTTCCTTCATTAACAACCTTAGATTTTTCACCTTTGAAACTATTGTTTCCTCCTTGCTTCAAAGCAATTTTATTGCAAAAGATATCCAGATGATCTTTTCCGCAATTTCTACATTTTATGTCTGCTCGGCATTCCCTTTTCAGATGATTTCCCTTTAGACATTTAAAGCAGACTTCAGCCTCCTTTATCTTTTGATCCCTCTCGCTAGGAATGACTCCGCTGTCACCAACCGCATCAACCGACTCGCCCTAGACTCAAACCCCAACTACTGCATGCAGGCAGGCCCAGACTTGGGAGTGATAGACGAGGCCCCGGCAGACAACTGGGATGTGGAGGACGCAGACCTCCAGAGACTGGCCCGGGAACGGAGGCCGGCGGAGCACCAGCAGAGGAAACTCCAGAGAAGTTCCGGAGCCAGAGCCAACACCAAACCTCCACTGATGGCTTCCAAGCTCAGCTGAATGTGAATAAATAAGATGGTCCCATCTTCTACTACATCTTTACTACTCAGGTGATTATCTCTCTGGCAGAATATGCATTTTATGTTAAATGCGCTGCCGAATAAATTGGAGGCAGTGGGCGGTGTCTTCCGGGGAGTCTTTAGTTGAGAACCTGTAGCCCTCATTGAGCTATTAGCCTCAAAATTCTCCCTAGCAAATGCCATTCGCTCAGCACCCTTCACCTCATCCCGAAGGAAGTCCATCAGGGCCTGTAGTCTACCGCTGGCATCGCTCTTATCTCCATTCTCCGCTCCTTCTTCTTTTATCCCATAGCCCACAGCAGGATTCCTCTGCCACACCTGAATAATGTCCAATGGCAGACTCGACTCAACCAATGGGTAGAGAAACACGCCTGTTATATCTCCGCGTTTACACCCAGTGATTCCAGGTTCTTTAAGTGTGCCATTAGATCATCGTAGATCTCGTCAAGAGGAATGTTTTCTTTCCTTGCATTAGAAACAACCAGTTTCAACAGTCTCCTTATATAGTGTTCTATGAGAAGGTTCTTATCTCCGAATCTATCTTTCAATGCTTGTATTACCTTGGGATAATTATATTCAGTTATAGGGTAACTGCACACAAGACGTTGAGCTCTGGATCCCTCGACTACCGCTTGTAGCAGATAGTGAAATTTATCTACATCCCCAAGAGTTTCATCGTCATTAATTTTACTAAATTGCCCCCACCATGAGAGCCAATCCTCTAGGTTGCCCTTAAATTTTGGTAGCTCCACTTTTGGCAACCTAATAGTTCTTTTAGATTCGGTATTTACAACCGAATTCGCAGCGGACTCCACCAATGAGCCGTCGACCCTAACTCTCACGGTTTCACACCGAGACAAATATTTATTTTCTATGTCAAACATCCCTTGAACATAGTTTTCAAAGCCCTCGAATTCTTCTTCGATTTTGACCTCCGTTATGGTTTCATCCTCCAGAAGGAGCCCATGATACCTTGAATCAATTTCACTTATATCCTTAGAGAGAGCACAAATTCGGTTATATTTAGATCTATATTTTTCTACATCGAAATCAGGCTTTTCTATTTCAGTCCAAAACTCGGTGGACAGACGAGTAAAAATAGCTCTTTTGGGGGCTCTAGCCCTTTTTAATATATCAATACTCTGCATTATTTACTGTATAATATTCCTAGAAGCCTTTCTTTTTTTTCTTTTTTCTCGATTTGACCAGCCAATGCAGCCCACCCGGGGACGCCAAAAATAAAATGTTAAAAAAGGGGTAATTAAAAAAAGCTCGTGGAGGAAAAAGAAAACTTCGGAACGCTCCACAAACCCCCTTT